GCACAGTCCGAGATACTGAGGTTGGATAAACTCTCACCCATCTGGACCAACCAAGCCTTTCCTCCCTGTGGGTGTTGTTCTGGTGCGCACGTGGGGCGCCCGGCGGGCTGGAGAGAGTTCATGAGAAGACTTTGTTAAAAATATCGCATCAATAACGGATTATTGCCACCAATGCGTCAAAATGATCAAGGAGTTTGCACGTTAAATTGGATTTTGGTCTGCACAGGTCACTGCCTAGCTAGATATACCCAGCTGTTGGAAAGGTTCATCATCTCGACTTATTGCCAGTCAGCTGTCTGTACGCGAGAACTTTCTGTGAGGATTTCGCGATGTTCCAGGGGAACAAGAGGGGTCAGGATTTTCTTGCAGGTAAAAAAGGAGAAGAGGTGGCTAGACTTCGAAGGGTAGCGGGTGGGAAGAAAATAAGGGACAAAGCTGGACGTTGGATCAACCTTTTTGGAGTACGGCACGAGCAGTTTTATACTTATGAATGTGGCGATAGGCTTGAAGTTACAGGCAGGGGGAGGGTTGGCCGATGTACAGGTCAGTGTTGTGCGTACTCACGCACACAATCTGGCCGGCCAATTTCCCGTTCCCGGCGGGCACAACGTTTGGTTGGCCCAAAGCCGATCCGAGATCTGATGTCCGGACATAGCGTGTTTGCAAGAGAGCAACTTGCACTGCACCACCACCGCCGTGGATACCGTTGGTAACCCCAAGAATTACGTGTTATATGCAGGGTTTGGTTACTCTTAAAAGCATCTAGAGTAGAGTTAAAGCTTACTAAACTACTACAAAAATATTCCTTGCCTTTCATCTATTGATTGCCTTAATGTAAAGTCATGCTGTTCTCTTTCAGGCTACCATCCATGACTCGACAACGGCTGAAATTTACGCGACTGAAGAGATTTCACCGATTCATGAGCCGATTCTGGCTGACTTGGATTTCAGCGAAAATGGTCAATACGCCTATGTGCTGACACCTAGCAAAGTATGTTTCTGCAAGGAGTTTTGCGTTTCAATAGCTCCTTTTGGTTAAGGTTTGCGGTAATCAAGCTACGTCGTAAGATACCCGACTAGCAAAGGTGGCAGCGTTGAACTTTTGGGGATTCGAAGCCCCATATTCTTCATGGATAGGCGGAGGCAGAGCCCCATTGTGCCTCTCTCCTTGGTACTCCACTCCTTCCAAGGCGTTATTTGCGGAGGAGAGGCGCACCAGTAAGTTGATTGGAGAAGTCTGTCTCCGCCCACATGATCAGTGCGGAATAGGCTGTTGAATGGTACCGGGATTGTTTGGGAAAAGAGACTGTGTCCCGAGCGGTCGGTCCGGCAAATTACTGTGTGGGCTATATTCCACTTGTAGGGCCTCAGATTCAGTGTCGAATGACTAGCCCTATCGTAATGATAAGAACATTTCGCTAGATTTACTCTTATGGCATGGTACTGTGACGCGATATTTTTGTTACTGTTGTGTAGGGGCAAAAGAAAGATGTACAGTCTTGTTCGCAGCGGATGACGGGGCGTGTCAGGAGGGAGGGATTGGGCAAAGCACTAACCCCGTTTTCCTCCAGCTGTCGAAGCCTGTAAGCGAAAAGACTGTATGATATCGTCCATATCAGCCGTTTTCTACCAATTGTTAGCTTACCTGCTTTGACAACTGGTGGAGGGCGGGCTGGTGGCGCGCCAAATCCAGCCTCACTGAACGCCCCATCATCCACAGTGAAGGAGACTGTAGTTTCCACAGATAAACCGGGCACTCACAAGGGTAATCGACTGCTTTTATGGTATAGTGTAAGAATCTTCTGTAACAAAAGGAAGAATACAGGTTTCAAGCAAGTCCTATCTCAGGCTGTTTGAAGAGAGATAAAGTGACTTAATGCAATGGAGGCTAATAAAGGTTCTGGTCTATGGAGGTTTATAAATGTAGCTGAGATTTTACACGAGATCTGGTTTATAAAGCGTTTGAACTGGTTGGTTTATATCTGAACTAAGCTTGCGTTTTAGCAGAAAAAGCACGACATGCTGTGTAAAGGAATAAAAGTGAAGGGGAAAAATTCCCGCGGGGTGTTCCCTAGGTGGTTCATGTTGAGGGTCGTTGTTAGGGCTTATCGAAGAATCCTCAAGTGAAGGGTTTTGTTTGAGTAGCTGGGGAGGAGGGTCGTGTTGTGGACCATTGAGCGCATGTGTTCATACAAAGAGATGCGGAGTTTTGAGTGAGTGAAAAGGATTGCTGTACTATTTCCTTCCCTCTTCTCATCAGTGAA